GTTTTCGTACACTGAGTTTAGCGAAAACTCCCGGCTTCGCATTTACTAGTTTCACCTTTTGCTTTGTCGATGAAGTTTCATCTCTGAAACTAAAGTGTTCCAGGGCCTAAGACATAGATAAAGACGATAACAACAACACAAACAAATTTTAATTAATCCCAGAGACTCGCTCTCACTCAGTATCAAGCAATCAACTTTGTTAGTTTATTGTACGAAATAACATTAATACTCTGAGATTCATAGAACTTTAACATCCTCTCATCACTTTTGTCTCTCCAATTACTTCTTGTCAGCAATATCACTTGGAAGATCTTCCCCGGAAGGCCTCTTTCCGGGATAGTTGGTCACTGGAGGATACGAACTGTTCATGCTGCATTTGAAAAGGCAGAGAATATGACTTAAGAACTGTCTGAATTTATCAAATGTGAGCGCTTTTTCGTTGAACAAAACTTACCATTTATCCACTAGAACAACCGAACGAAGCTCACAGTTGGCGAAACTGCAACCATTAGAAGAAGTTGGGATATTAAGAACACAAAACAATACCAAATGATCAAAGCGAGAATGAAGACCACAGTTAAAAGAAACAACAAGCTTACTGTGAAGAAATCTCGCTTTTCACATCCGGAACGCAATCATTTCCGAATGAGTTTAATGTATGATACAAGAATCCGCTATGAGTAACAACCGCAATCACCTTTTCTTTCCTTGTACTCAACCTGAATTCAGTTGATATATCAATCAAAAGATAATGCCATTACTTTCACAACGGTTTACTCTTATGTCGAAATAAAATATCAAGTATGTTAATAAGAATTTTGCAGATATTCACCAGTTCATGAATTTTACACCTCTGGCTGCAATATCTTTATCCTCCTCTCTGATTTCAGGCTTCCACAAAACATCTTCATCAGTTTCTATCTGTATACAGAATATGACAATGTGAAAACAGAAGAAAGAAGATTTAAAGTTTCTACGTTCAGTCAAGGAACACAGATAAATGGTTATGTACTTGCCAATGAAAAATCAATGGCAGGGAATAATTCGCGGTACTTGGTGATATTGCTTCTTCTGTCACAAGGATGAACACCCTGAAACCAAGACAAGAAGATTGTAAAAGATTTTACTCACAAGTAATTAAGTAAAAGGTGAAAAGTTAAGAATACCAAATGCTCTCTGCAGGATTCAACTGCAATGAATGGTGGGCAATTTAAGCTTGATATAGCAGGACGATCGCTCTTTCCTGCACCTGCCGTCATAAGCGGAGGTGCATCAACGCCATCTCTGTAACCTTCCCCGCCAAAAGTTCCAACCGCGGTTTGCAAAGTCCTAAAACAAAACAAGTATTGAGGTGAAAAATACACAACTACTCAAGTATGAACACAAATAACTAAGCATATTCACTGTATACAGCGAATCCAACCACGAAAATGCCATTAAAATCAAGCTCTATGGGTTTAGCTAGTGACCAAAAACGAGTAAATTACCTGAGCAGAGGAGACACAACAACCAACTCAATTCTATTGGAGATCCCACTTGCCTTAACATGCTTGCGTAGGTTTTCAACCTACAACAACAGAATTCACGTTACTTCCCTTTTGCAAAAGAGCACATATGAAACATTTATGTGTAACGTCACAGCAACAGATCATTCATATTTTCATAGTGGACATGATTATATGCAAAATTCAAGTAACAAAAACCAGAAAAAATACGGTACCTGTTGCCATCCGAGAGGTGTGAGATGTGCATCAAAGAGATCCTCAGATAAGTAAGCATCATGATTCTTCTCTCCTTCAACATTGTGAATCCCTTGAGCATGCCTCACCAGATGTATGGTTTTGCAACGGTGAAGTGGATAAAGGCCTTGACTTGGTTTATTAGCCTCCATTTCTAATTTTTTGAATCATCCACACAAAAAAATCATTCAAATTTACATATAACCCATGAATTGTTTCATCAATGAAAAACCCATTTAGCCTTTAGTATAAAATTTACGATCTGATTCAACAAACTAAAACGATCTGATTCCGACAATAAATATTATGAGATCGTAAGAGAGAGAGAGAGTTACCGTGAGAAGGAATAGAGTTGCAACAACAACGAAGAGGAAGTGTAGGAAGCGATGATGTAAGAGGAGAAGAAAGAGGAGAAACAGAGGAAATGGAAATGGAATGTGAAAATGAAACAAAAGAGTTCATTGGTGAAGAAGTTAAATAATGAAATATCTGTGGAAAGTCGTAAACTGTGTGAGATCCGTGTCTCTCTCTAGCTTTTTTATTTATGTTACTGTTTCCCAACTTTCCTTAAAGTTTTTTTTTTTTTATCACAACTTTCCTTAAATATATTTTTTGAGTTTTTGTCATTACATTGAATACGACTTTTGGAATATTCCCGAATTTCCCATTACTTTTGAGTGGTTCTCTTTGACTTTGATTTAGTTATCAGTTATGACAAAAAGATAAACAAACGAAAAATGTTATATTGGTAATGAATGACAAAAGCTAGAGATCAAACACAGTTATGCAATGCAATATTCATATACTGGGGTCTGGAGATCATAGCATTAAAATGAAACAACCCATAAAAAAAAACAGAGGAACAAAATTGATTCATAACAAAGACAAATTCTTGACACAGAAAAAGCAGTCAAGAAAACAACAAAATAAGCAGGTGAGATCTTTTCTTT